CGGAGGTAGGGGCGTGGGCGGGAAGGAGAGCGGGGTGGGGGGCGAGGTGTCCCCCCAGTGCCCTTTCCAGCGTCACACCTCTGTCCCCCATAGTGTCGGTGGTGATGGGCATCCCGAGCGTGCGGCGCGAGGTGCACTCATACCTGACTGACACTCTGCACTCACTCATCTTCGAGCTGAGCCCGCAGGAGAAGGAGGACTCGGTCATTGTGGTGCTGATTGCTGAGGTGAGTGAGCCTGGTTGCAGGGTTGGGAGACGTTCAGAGGAGCCCCTGTGGTGCAGGAGAAATGACAGCAGGAGCCATTCCAGAGAAGAAAGCTGTAGGAAGTTCAGCTGCTAGTTTCATTGGCCAATGTTCCAAGATAGAAACATTTCCCTTTGGGCCCTGCATGTCCCAAAGGGAAAGGGCTGTCTCTAGGGGCCCCCATCTTCCGCCCTCAGCACAGCAGGCTTGCTCCCTCCATGTGAGTGGGGGGATATCTGAAGCCTGCGCCCTTTCTCTAAGCCCTTCTTCCAGGCCTATTGGGGCAGCAGCAGGGCTAAGGGAGGGTGCTTGGTCTCCCCACAGACTGACCCACAGTACACTTCGGCAGTGACAGAGAATATCAAGGCCTTGTGAGTACTGGCAGCCCCAGAGAGCTAGTGGTGGGAGGGCTCTTCGAGGGGTGTTGTTCTGGCAGGTTCCTGCTTCCCCAGAAGATAGTGCCTTCCCTATCTTGTGGGGAGGCAAGGACCTGGTCGGGGAGAGGGTGGATGTGCAGAGTGGCCCAGCCCTCTGGAGCCCCGCTGCCTCAGTTGGCTGGATGTGGGGGATGGTGGGGGGCTGGCACTGCGTAAGTCTCAAGAACGGGCCAGGGTCTGGCGGACTCAGCCCCCCTCGGCCTCTGGAGGCTGCATACGGACTGGGACTTCCCATCCCCCAGGTTCCCCACCGAGATCCATTCCGGGCTCCTGGAGGTCATCTCACCCTCTCCCCACTTCTACCCTGACTTCTCCCGCCTCCGAGAGTCCTTTGGGGACCCCAAGGAGAGAGTCAGGTACTGGCACTCCCCCATACCCCCAGCAACCTGCCCACCTGTGCTGAGAACCCATCTACTGATGTCTGAGTCCATCTACTGATGTCTGAGTCCAGGGCGTTGCCCTGCAGTGCCCTGAATTCTCCATGGGATGACCCGTGCATGGGGGTGGGGGGACAAGGGCTGCCCACCCAGTGGCTTCTCTGCGGAGCCGCACTGGAGGTGGAGGGGTCTCAGCTCCTGAGGCCCTGCCCCGGCCCACAGGTGGAGGACCAAACAGAACCTCGATTACTGCTTCCTCATGATGTACGCGCAGTCCAAAGGCATCTACTATGTGCAGGTCAGCCCCGATCCCTGCGCGGCCCTCCCCTGCTCTGGGTCTGGTCCATCTGGGTACCCCTCCTGAGTCACAGCCCCTCTCTGCTCACCCTGCAGCTAGAGGATGACATTGTGGCCAAGCCCAACTACCTGAGCACCATGAAGAACTTCGCACTGCAGCAGCCTTCAGAGGACTGGATGATCCTGGAGTTCTCCCAGCTGGGCTTCATTGGTGTGCCCCCTCCCCTAACCCGACTGTGCCTTTCTGTCCCTCCTGCCTCTGCCATCCTCTCTCCCAGTCCCACGCTGTGTCTGCTGTGAGCCTTTGCCCAGATTGGGCCCTGCCTGGTGTGTGTGCACCGCAGCCCCACCTGGCCTGTTCTCATTGCCTGTGCACTGGGCATGTCTGGCGTGACCACCTGTCTGTCTCCTTGTGCCCACACCTGCCTGAAGCCTGCCCCTGGGTTTACTGTGGGACTGTCCGGGGTGAGGGGGGAATGGTCCTACAGGGAGTAAGAGGAAGTCCAGTGGAGCAGCACTGCCCACTCAGGTCCCCTCCCCACCAGGGAAGATGTTCAAGTCGCTAGACCTGAGCCTGATTGTAGAGTTCATTCTCATGTTCTACCGGGACAAGCCCATCGACTGGCTCCTGGACCATATTCTGTGGGTGAAAGTCTGCAACCCCGAGAAGGATGCGGTGAGCAAGGGGTGGTGGGACTGGCAGGGGCAAGGCCAGTGGGCAGGCAGCCTCCAGCACAGACTGTGTCCCTGTCCTGTCTGATCACTTAGAGAGGGCACTGTCAGCTGTGGGAGGGCCTTGGTGTCCCCCAGGAGAGGCCATGTTGGGTAAGGAGGGCTAAGCCAAGCCCTGGGGTGTCTCCCACCCTCCACAGAAGCACTGTGACCGGCAGAAGGCCAACCTGCGGATCCGCTTCAAGCCGTCCCTCTTTCAGCACGTGGGTACTCACTCCTCACTGGCTGGCAAGATCCAGAAACTGAAGGTGGGCTGCGCTGCATGCTCCCCCTAGGCCAGGGTCCGGGTTGGGGCCCACGCCATCAATGCTGTCCCTCCACTGCTGCAGGACAAGGACTTTGGGAAGCAGGCACTGCGGAAGGAACATGTGAACCCACCAGCAGAGGTGAGCACAAGCCTGAAGACATACCAGCACTTCACCCTGGAGAAAGCCTACCTGCGCGAGGACTTCTTCTGGGCCTTTACCCCCGCCGCGGGGGACTTCATCCGCTTCCGCTTCTTCCAGCCCCTGCGACTGGAGCGGTCAGTGCCAGCACCCTGGGTCTGCAATGGGGGTGGGGTTGGGTGGCCACCAGGGTTTAGGCTCTACCAGCAAATTACTTATCCTCACATTCTTCAGTTTCCTCATCTGAAAAGTGGGCCTCCTAACGGTAGCTACCTTGTAAGGACTAAGTTAGGCAGCCCCTAGGAGCTCAGGTATGTTTCCTGTCACCATCCTCCCAGAGGAAGGCCCTAGTCAACCTTGCACAGCCTGACAGTCACCTGGGAGTCCCTCTGGCTCAGGCCTGGCCTTTCTCTGCTGGGCCCTGCATGCTGTGCTAGAGCGCCGCTCCTGCAGCAGCTCACAGGCCTGCCTGGCTGCAGGTTTTTCTTCCGCAGTGGGAACATTGAGCACCCAGAGGACAAGCTCTTCAACACGTCTGTGGAGGTGCTGCCCTTTGATGTAAGTGTGGTAGGGTATGGTGTGCACCGAGGCCAGGCCTCCCGAGGCCACCTGCTTCAGCCCTTGATTCTGCCCCCAGAACCCTCAGTCGGACAAGGAGGCCCTGCAGGAGGGCCGCGCCGCCACCCTCCGGTACCCTCGGAGCCCTGATGGCTACCTCCAGATTGGTGGGTAGGGGCTGGGGGAGAGCGTGGGCTGGGGTTCAGGGACACCCTCTCAGCACTGCCCTCCCCCAGGCTCCTTCTACAAGGGAGTGGCAGAGGGAGAGGTGGACCCAGCCTTCGGCCCTCTGGAAGCTCTGCGCCTCTCCATCCAGACGGACTCCCCTGTATGGGTGATTCTGAGCGAGGTGAGGCTGAGCAGGGCCAGGCCAGGCATGGGAAGCAGCGAGGGAAACCTTGGCGGAGCTCAGAGGCCCTGCTGACCTTGGGCCTGGCTCTTCCAGATCTTCCTGAAAAAGGCAGACTAAGCCGAGGGCTTTCTGAGGGTACCCTGTGGCCAGCCCTGAAGCCCATGTTTCTGGGGGATGTCATCACTGCCGTCCCCGGAGGGTCAGCTATGGCTCTACCTGAAGGGTTCTGCCCGGCGCCAGGCTTGGGCCGGCCTGGGGTCCGCCGCTGGCCCGGAGGCCCCAGGAGCTGGTGCTGTCCCCGCCCGCCAGGCCGCAGAGGAGGCAGGCGGCCCCCACACTGTGCCTGAGGCCTGGAACCGTTTGCACCGGCCTGCCCCAGCCAGGTCGTTTTAGAAGAGCTTTTTCTTGGGCGCCCGCTGTCTCTGGCGCGAACACTGGAATGCATATACTACTTTATGTGCTGTGTTTTTTATTCTTGGATACATTTGATTTTTTCACATAAGTCCACGTATACTTCTATAAGAGCGTGACTTGTAATAAAGAGTTAATGAAGTGTGTGCCTCAAATGTGAGCTCCCTGGACATCTCCTCTGCCCCTGCGCTTGGCTTCAGATGTCTGGTCTGTGCCCCAACATGCCAGCTAAGCCTGGCACTGGGCCTCCCCACCAAGCACCAACTGCGACCTCTCCCTGCTAAGGAAAGGAGCCAGCCTGACCTGCAGGCGTGGGGCCCAGCACCTGGCTGTGCAGCTGCAGTGCCATCTCACCCCCATTTCTAGGATCAGGCTGCAAAGTCAGTAATTCACGAGTGAAACCAGCCTAGAATCCTGGACTTCAATGCCGATGCAAGTCCCCCAAATGCCTCCTCCCCCATGTCCAAGGCCTGGGATAAGGCCGTCCCTTAGTGCCTCAAGCTGAAGGCATTTCCCAGTCTCCTTGTTCCCCTATGTGTGTCTCAGCTTGGTCCTCATCCTGGGTCCCCAACAGTCTCTGTGGTACATGTTAGGGTCTCCTGCTCACCTCAGGGCCTTTGCACACACGACTGCCCCTGCTTGGAAAGCTCTCCTTTTCTCCTACAGGCTTGGCTAAAAATCACTTTTTTGTTTCGGTGGGCCTTCCCTGGGTCCCCAAGGCTTCTGGACATTTCCTTGAGAACACCTGTCACTCACTATGTTCCCATGGTGCCCGCAACTCTGCGGACCTGGAAGGGCTGCCCTGAACACCTACAATTAACACGGGGAACCCAGTGCTGACCAAAAGGAAAAGGCCCCTGTCTTCACCTGGGGAGAGACCCACAAGCTCTAGTGTCAGCTGTGAAGGCCAGGGGACGAGGGCTGGGTGGCTGAGCGTCAGGAGACGGGAGGCCCCTGAGGAGGGGGACCGGTGAGGAGAGCGCTGAGAAGGTTGTAATGGTAGGCCTTGTGACCCCGAGGCTGAGTAGGGAGTAGGGGTGGGAAGTTAAGACCGGATTCAGTCCGGCTCCAAGGGGAGGTCCAGTTCCTTCGCAGTCCCTCCCACGCCGCCTCTAGGAAGAACGTCGGGATGCCCTGGCCTTGGGCTGGGCCACTCCAGGCTTCCCCGCAGTGCGCCGCCCCCACAAACCAGAGAACGCAGCAGGTGGCTGGGTCACGAGAACTTTAATGAGAGGCTAGGAAGCGGAGGCAAGCGCTCCTCCCCGGGGTAGCTGGAGGCTCCGGCTCTTCTTTCCCGGCTCCGGCGGCCTTGGTCTCAGGCCCACGGCAGCAGCGTCCGGAGCCGTTCGAGGAGCGCGGCGCAGAGCGCCGCCGGGAGGAAGTGGGAGAGCAAGCCGAGCGCAGCCAGCGCCACCAGCAACCAGAGGGCGCGCGCGCTCGCGTACAGCGGGGCCAGCCTGCGGGCGGCGGTCAGCGGGGCGGTGGCGCGAGGAGGCCCCGCCTCTTGACCACCCCAACCCCAGTCTCACGGGGACTTAGGCCGGCCGCCGCCCCGGCTCGCCTGCCGAATCCCCAAAGGCGGTGGCCCCTGGCCCGTAGCCCGCCCCCAGCTTGGGCCCCGCTCCCCGGGAGCCCCGCCTACCCGCGGTCTTTCCCCGGCCCCGCCTCGCTCCCCCCGGGCCCTCACCTGAGCTGCGCGGAGCGCGCATAGCCCTGGAAGTAGCGGAGGCGCGCGAACAGGTAGATCAGGCCGCACAGGGCCGCCGCCCCTGCGAGAGGTGCGCGCGGGCCTGGTGAGCGCGCTGCGCGGGCGCGAGGGGCTCCAACGCGTGCGCCCCTGCCCCACACCCCGACCTTCGTGAAAAAAGATGCCGGCGACCCAAAGCGTGGCGAGGAACAGCGGGAAGTACTCGCTGCAATTCACCCTGCGGTGGGCGGGTGGGATGAGCGCCCTGGCCAGGCTGGTCCTGCGACCTGGACCCGCCCGGGGCTCGCTCCTCGCCCCGCGCCCTCCCTCCGCGCCTCACTGTGCTCGGTAGACGCGCTCGAACTCGGGTGGGCCGGTGGTGAGCGGCGGCGACACACGGAAGGCCCTCCGCGCCGAGATCACCTGTAGAGAGAAATAGGCTGGGGGCGGAGGGGGAGCAGGAGTCAGGTCTGGACATCTGGAGATGGAGGTAGGAGGGATCCTGCAATCCCGCCCTGCACTTGGCGGTGTCCTCCCTTCCCTAAGGCGCAACAACTACCCGCTCTCTCCCGAGGAGATCCCCCGTCCGACCCATCCCTGGCCTGCCCTGTGTCCCTGACTTTCAGCGGGAAGGGCAGAGCTGAAGCCTGGGGCGCAGAGAGGCTCTGTCCCAACCTGTGAGTGTATGGGGGAGGATGGGCACAGGGACACCTGCTCTCGAGAGAGCCCACTTGAGCCTTTGTTTCTGAATCATTTCACTCGCAAAACACAGGCAAATGCAGCTTTCAGGTCCCTGGCCAGGAAGTGCCTCTGGGGCCTGATTGCAGAACTGGCTGTATCTTCCCAAGGTGCAAGGAAGCACAGTCCCTGTGGCTAACAGTCCCTGGTCACCCACCTACCAGAGCCCACCAGCAGGGCCCTCTGACCCTGCCTCAGTCCAGGATCACCAAAGCCTGGGTCCCTGTGCTTCCTAACCTCACTTTCTCTATTCCTGCATTCTGGTCCCAGGGCTAACAGACACCCTCTTTTCTGCTGCCAGGAGGTTGCAGCTGGGACTCTCCTAGCCTAATCTCAGGACCCCAGAACTGGGGTAGGTGCAGAGGACTGGGCTGGCCGTTGGTGGGAGGCCTAGGTTGGTGGATTACCTGAATAGGAGCCCTCCCCTCAGTCAGAAGGCCAGGCCGGACCACACACAGACCAGTGGTGGCTGTGCACTCCGTCCCGAGACCTGCTGTCTGACCATCTCCCCTTGAGTGCTGGCACCTTTGGTGCTGGGCTCCCTGCAGATGGGTGTCACAGGGTGGCCGTCCAGCTCAGTGCAGGTACAGCTGGAGGTCAGGCTGGCCTGTCTGTTCAGCCCCTTCAGAGCCCCCTCCCTAGGCTTTGCCTTATCCTAGTCCACACACTGCGGGGCAGTGGTGTCCCTAAGTGGCAAGGATATCTGGTCCAGGAATGTGTCCTCTAGAGCCAGGCTGAGAAAGGCATCAAGCAGTTTCATTTTAGGGCGCTGGAGGAAGGAGTCCCACCCCTGCCCTGCTCCACGTGGTCCCAGTATGGAGGTGCCTTTTAAGCAAGGCCAGGGAATGGGAGCCCCTTTCTTGGATGCCCAGAGAGGGGACAGCTGGAAAGAGCAAGGATCAACTTCCCCAAGCCTATGGCTATCCCACTATTTGTCCTGGCACCCTTCCACCCCCAAGTCCTACAGCTCTCACAGCTGAGTGTACCCCACATCCCCAAAAGTCCCCACTCTCCTCCAGCTTGGGCTTGGGCTGTAGTCCCCACCTCTGCCCTCCCCCTGGGCCTAGGGGGCAGGCTGCCAGGATCTGAGGCCCACCCTCTTCCTAGATAGGAGCCAGCCCACCTTGCAACAGGACTCCCAGGAGGGTGACGGTGGCCAGAAGAGCCACCTCGTCTTTCATGGTGCTGGTGGCTGCAGTGGCACAGGCTGTATATAAAGGCGAGCTGGGGAGCGCTTAGCCCCGACTGCTGCTCAGAGATCGACTCAGAAGAGGAAGAGCAGCCTGGGTATCTCCCCGCCCCGTCTCAGTGGAGGGGGTGCGTGGGGCATGACCATACCACAGGGAGCCAGGCCAGGCCGGCAGGGAGGAAACCAAAGCCTGAGCAGGGGACAGCAGCCAGCTGGGGACCGCCTCACCACTTCCTGCCCCTTCCTTGCCTAGCCCCATCTGGCAGAGCCCAAGTTGTCCATCTGGGTCGGTTCCAGCTGTGGGTGTGCCCCCCTGCTGCATTGCCCCACTTTCTCCAGGGCCCTGCATGCTCAGCAGGTCCCAGCAGGCTCTGCGGACCCCCATGTCATGCTTGAGCCAGTCGGCTCAAGGCCGACTCCCCCACCCACCTTATCTGTTTCCTTCCCCGAGCCAGGCTGTTCCTGGCAACCCCTGCTGCACCCTCCTCTGCAGAAGCCGTTCCCAGCTACCTTTGCCTTTAAAATAGAGTCCAAGTGAATCCCAGCCACACTGGGCCCCACCAAGCTTTTTCTCCTTCAGGAAACCTGATGCCTGCCAGCCTCAGTGAGTCACAGGGGATCCATGCAGAAGGGCCATCCTGCCAGGGAGCCTGTCCAAGGCCTCCTGGCTGGCAGGGAGGGTCAGCCCTTGTGGGCCAATCCTGTCCCAGGCCTATCCTGTGCTTCTAGTCCCACACAGTCACCTGCTGTGTCTTTCTGCCCTAAAGCCCTCTTGCCTCAGGGTAACAACCTGCCAATACCTTCCTAAGACCGAAGCCCTCCCCACACCGTAGGCTCTGTGGTCTAGACAGGCTGACTCCTGCCCCTTCCAGGCCTGTGAGATGGACACTGAGCCAAGGCTGACTCAAGATGGTATGGTGAGACACAGTTCTGGAAACTTCCTTAGAACTTTGGGACAGGACTCCTAAGGTGTGGAGATCACTGGTGTGAGCAGGAAAAAAAAAAAAGAACTTTGGGATGGGAAACTCAGAGTGAGGAGGGGGACTACCATGGGCCACGCTGAGGAGGACGGAGCCCACGCAGGGTCATACTGAGAGGAGAGGCCGCACCTGAGGACTGTGTCTCATGGGCCCCCCAGGCCACCCTCCTCACCCCGCCTGGAGCACCCCCGGCCACTCTCCTCACCCCGCCTGGAGCACCCCCAGCCACCCTCCTCACCCCGCCTGGAGCCCCCAGCCACCCAGCTCGCCCCACCTGGACTCCCTCCCCCAACAAGCTTTCCCAGTTGTGCCTAATGGCCACTTCCTCTTTTGGCTCGGGCAGGTTTGCAGTGGTTTTTGGGCAGAAGTGGCAAAGCCCAGACTGACCAGAGGCACAGACAGGAGCTGGAGCTGCGGGGGTCTGGCCACGTGGCTCTGCCCACGTGGCTCTGCCCTTGCCCCTGGTCCTTGCTTGCTGCCCCAAGCCCAGCATCAGCCTGAGGCTCAGCGTCTGCCTGGCTCTCCCAGAATCCCTCCTTCCCTGATCATTGGCCCGCCCCTGGAAATCTGATATGCCCCAGCTAGGGCCTCTGTGAGCTCCAGGGCAGGGGTCAGGGCTCAGGCTGGGTCCCTGCTTTAGACCAAGGTGTGACAGTCTTCTTGGGGCATGATGGAGGAGTGCCTCCTAGATGCATGGACACAGAGATGCAGTGCCAGGGAGTGACGGTGGCTGCATGCTCTGGCTCTCTCTCCCCACTCAGCCTCCCTCCCTGGAACCTGCCCTAACTGCAGGCCCTCTGCTCTGCCTCGTGGGGCCTACCTGAAGGGTGGGATGCAGGCCACCATGCAGGGGTTGACATTGGTGCCAGTGGGCTGTGCCCAGTGTGTCTGTGTGCACCATACATACAGATCTGCATGCTTCTTGGTCGCCTGTCACACATCCATGTGTTTGTGCGTGTTGGCATCCACGTGTCTTTGCATGAGTCCAGGCCCTCCTGTCTGCTGAGTTCTCATTTCCTACAAGGCCTGAATGTCCTCCCATCGGAGTTCATCTCCTCAGCCCGCAGCAGGAAGCCAAAGCCTGACATCAGCAGCTTCTGAGGAAGTTCCTGGGCAGATGTGCAGGGCAGGAACTTGGGTCTTGGCCCCGGGAGCACTCCCCGGGTCTCTTGGTCCCCACCTCCCTCCCTCTGAGCCCACCCAGGCTGTCAGGGCCCTGTCTAGGCTCAAGCCAGCTCAAACTGACAGAAGGGCCAGCTAAGCCCCCACCCTGGCTCAGTCCACCCAGCCACCGTCCTCCCATCTAGCTCTGGAGGCACCAGCATCAGGATGGAAGTGAAAGCTCCTCCCTGAGCCTCCACAGAGCCCTGACGAGCCTTTGATGCCCACTCACCAGGACCTCTGGGAGGCAGAAAGACCTGCATAACCACTGCACAGAAAATAAATCAGAACTTCCGTGCAGTGGATCATAAGCAGCGCACAACTAGGACCCTGAGATTGAAAAACAAAATTTATTTAGAAATTATTTTAGGCCGGGCACGGTGGCTCACGCCTATAATCCTAGCACTTTGGGAGGCCGAGGTGGGTGAATCACCTGAGGTCAGGAGTTCAAGACCAGCCTGGCCTCCCAAAGTGCTGGGACTACGGGCGTGAGCCACCACGCCTGGCCAATTTTTTGTATTTTGAGTAGAGACAGGGTTTCACCATGTTCCCCAGGATGGTCTTGAACTCCTGGCTCAAGTGATCTGCCCGCCTTGGCCTCCCAAAGTGCTGGGATTACAGGCATGAGCCACCGTGCCTGGCAAACATTACCAATTTATACAAAGAAGCCAGCTGGGATTTCGGTAGGAATTGTGTTAAATCTATATATTGATTTGGGGAGTAGTGCCACCTTAACACTGTTACCTCTTCTGTGCACATGAGATGTCTTTCCACTTATTTAGATATTCCTTAATTTTTTCAACCATGTTTTATGTTTTCAGAGTATAAGTTTTGCATTTCTTTTGTTACGTTTATTTCCAAATAATTCCATTCTTGCTGATGCTGTTGTAAATGGAATAATTTTAATTTCATTCTTAGATTATTCATTGCAAATGTATAAAAACACAACTGATTTTTATTTTCGTTTATTGTTTTATTTCTATTTATTCGTTTGAGATGGGGTCTCATTCTGTTGCTCAGGCTGGAGTGCAGTGGCATGATCTAGCTGTAACCTTGAACTCCTGGGCTTAAGACGTCCTCCTACCTTCACCTCCCAAAGAGCTGGGATTACAGGCATGAACCATCTTTCCTGGCCAAAAATATAACTGATATTTTTTTAGTTGATCTTATATCCTTTAAAGTTACAGATCTTGTTTTTTTAGTTCTAATAGTTTTTCAGTGGATTTCTTAGTATTTTCTATGTATGCCAGGTGCGGTGGTGCGTGCCTGTAGTCCCAGCTAACCAGGAGGCTGAAGTGGGAAGATCCCTTGAACCCAGGAGTTCTGGCCTGTAGTGCGCTATACCGATCGGGTGTCCGCACTAAGTTCAGCATCAATATGGTGACCTCCCAGGAGCAGGGAACCACCAGGTTGCCTAAGGAGGGGTGAACTGACCCAGGTCGGAAATGGAGCAGGTCAAAACTCACGTGCTGATCAGTAGTGGGATCGCGCCTGTGAATAGCCACTGCACTCCAGCCTGGGCAACATAGCGAGACCCCATCTCTAAATATATATGTGTATATATATATATGTGTGTATATATATATATGTGTGTGTGTGTGTATATATATATATGTGTGTATATATATATATATGTGTATATATATGTGTGTGTGTATATATATATATGTGTGTATATATATATATATATGTGTGTATATATATATATGTGTGTGTGTATATATATATGTGTGCATATATATATATATGCGTGTATATATATATATATATATAAAGTATTTTCTATATATAAGATCATGTTTGCTGGGCACGGTGGCTCACACCTATAATCCCAGCACTTTGGGAGGCTGAGGTGGGCAGATCACGAGGTCAGGAGTTCGAGACCAGTCTGGCCAACATAGTGAAATCCTATCTCTACTAAAAATATAAAAAAAAATTAGCCAGGCATGGTGGCTCAAGCCTGTAGTCCCAGCTATTTGGGAGACTGAGGGAGGAGAATCGCTTGAACCCGGGAGGTGGAAGTTGCAGTGACCCAAGACTATGCTACTGCGCTCCAGCCTGGATGACAGAGTGAGACTGTCTCAAGAAAAAAAAAAAAAAAAAAAAAAAAAAAGTGTTATCAGTGATTAGACATAGTTTTACTTCTTCCTGTCACATCTTTTCATTTTCTTGCGTAAGTGCCCTGCTAGCCCCTCCTGAAGTGACAAAACCGACAGCCTTATCTTGCTCCTGATCTCGATCTTAGGGGAAAGCCTTCAGTCTTTCTCCATTGAGTATGAAGTTTGCTGTGGATTTTTGTACACACCCCTTCTTGGGTTAAGGAGGTTCCCTTCTAGTCCTAGCTCCCTCACTGTCTTCATCATGAAAGCGTGTCTGATTTGGTTAAATGCTTTTTGTACATCTATTGAGATGATGATGTGGGGTTTTTTTCCCCTCGATTCTGTTATTATGTGTTACATTAATTAACTTTTAGATGTTAAACCAACTTTGCATTCCTGGTCTCATACTCAGTCATGGTGTGTAATCCTTTTTATATGTTGCTGGATTCAGGTTGTTAGTCTTTGTTGAGGATGATGAACATTTTTCTTTAAATATTTAAAAGAGGCCGGGTGCAGTGGCTCATGCCTGTAATCCCAACACTTTGGGAGGCCGAGGCGGGTGAATCACGAGGTCAGGAGCTCGAGACCAGTCTGGCAAACATGGTGAAACCCTGTCTCTACTAAAAATACAAAAAATTAGCCAGGTGTGGTGGCTTGCACCTCTAGGCCCAGCTACTCAGAAGGCTGAGGCAGGAGAATTGCTTGAACCCGAGAGGCAGAGGTTGCAGTGAGCCCCGAGATTGCACCACTGCACTCCAGCCTGGGCAACAGAGCAAGATTCAGTCTCAAAAAAAAAAGTCTTTAAAAGAAACCTTATGTCACCATCATTACAATAAAATCAATATTAGTTGTGATAGATAGAAAACAAAACAACCTAACTATTATAAATTCTGGCTGGATATTCTCATTTGCCCTGGGCTCAAAGCCTACAATTTTGTTGTTGTTGATGCTGTTAAAAACAGGGACTAGAAGGGACATTGATTTGTGCATCAATAAAGAAAGAATGAGTGTCATTTATTGAAACATATCAAACAAAAATATATAAACATTAACAAATAGGTAATGATACTTAAAACCTTTCAATCACCTATGGAGGCTGCTAATGGATAACTCAGCCTTCTGAAATTTGACAAATGAAAAGAAAGAAGTAAATGTTTACTGCTTTGCTTGTTGGAACTCTAGATCAAGATAACTAAAGAATAGATGTGGGAACATTTTTCTTTATAGATGAATTCTAGATAATACATGAAGAAGGAATGAAGAATTTTAACCTTGCCATTTTGCATCTTATGAGGACATCACAGGGCTGGACCCTGATCAGAACACCTCCTGCCACCCGCAGGTGAGGGGTGTAGGAGGTCTTTCTGAGGGAGAGGATATGCCATCACCCAGCTCTCCTCAACCACATGTTCCGTGCCTCCCCAGGGGATGCACAGAAGGTTCCGATCCACCCACCTCTCCAGGTCTTGCTGGAAGTCAGGTGTGACACAGGATGCCACAAGAAAGCACAGGCAACCCAGAATGAGGGTCTGTCACAGAGTAGACTTGGAGACAACAGTGACAGCAACTAAGTTGTTGTGCCAAGTGTCACTGTGCTGAGGGTGCTTCATCTAGGAAGGCATTTGACGCTTCCCTGCTGGACACACATCAGAGATGTTTTGCAGAAGGAGCAGCCGTCACTCAGAGTTGGGAGTTTTGTGCCCAAGGACACAGGGACGGGAACCCAGGGCTGAGGGACTTCAACTAACCTGGAAGTGCCATGAGAGCTGGGCTGTGTCTGCCACACACAGTGCTGCGTGCCCTTCGAACTTAGTCCATGCTCTGTGAATAAGTCCTATACCAGCAATGGCCCTCTTCCTCCTCCTCCTCTCCCAGTCCTTCCCTCCTCCTTCTCCCTTCCTCC